CAGCTGTGTTGATAAGCTTTATTAGAAGCAAAAAAATTATTAGAAATGTTTACTTATACTACATACGATTCTGAATAAAACGTTATATAAGTGGATTTTTTACATTTTATAAACAATATGTATAAACAAATAACATAGCTAATAACCTAGCTATGGAAAGATGCAAATATGTCATTCATCGTCAAGAAAGGATGTAAACTTAAATCAATAAACTACCGTCCAATCTTGTTGACTTCAATTGCAAGTAAGATCATGGAGAAATTAGTGAGAAAATGTATGACGGAGCACCTTACTAAACTCAAACTACTATCTATTCACCAACATGAGTTTGTTAGTGGTAAATCTTGTGCTACAAACCTCTTAGAGGTGTTAGATATAATTACAGAGGCACTAAACCATAATTTTATGGCTGTCCTAATCTTACTGGACTTTTCCAAAGCTTTTGACAGAGTAAGCTACGAACTACTTAATATAAAACTTAATGGCTATGGGTTTGATGTAAAATTAATTGCTTGGATTTCTGATTTTTTTAAAAGTAAACGACAGCGAGTAGTCTTGGGTGGTGTGTATTCTGACTGGGCAAAGGTAACGAGTGCGGTACCACAAGGATCGGTTATTGGTCCACTACTGTTTTTGATATATATAAATGACATGCCAGAAATAGTCAAAAAATTTTGTAAGCTTTTTGTAGATGATAGTCAGCTCATTACTATGATCAAAAACAATATAGATATCATATCAGTTCAAAATGACCTTGACGCCCTCATAGACTGGTCCAAGCTATGGGAGATGTCCTTCAATTTCGAGAAATGTAAAATTATGAAATTCGGTGAAAAACCAAGCAAAAATCTAGAAAACTGTTACTTCACTATAAAAGACAATATTGGAGCTGCTTTTAATCTCGAAATAACAACAATTGACCAAAATCTTGGTGTATTTATTAACAATAAATTAAAATGGAACTACCACATCAAACATGCAATAAATAAAGCAAATATAATCCTAGGTAAGCTTAAACGAACATTCAAATCTTGGACGGGGCCTATTTTTTGTTAGATTGTTTACAACCTTTGTTTAACCTCATTTGGAATATTGTGCATCTGTTTGGAATCCTTTTAAAAAAAAAAAGACATAATTGCTCTAGAGCCCTTCAAAAAGCTGTCCAGAAAATAGCAACTAAACTTGTTCCAGCAATAAGTAATTTAAATTACGAAGCCCAGGGGCGGATACAGGTTGTAAAGATAGGGGGGGCACAAATGGAGTGGGGTTTAAGGGGAGGGGATACCCCCTCCCCTTCTGGGGTCTATAATCAGCCGCCAATGATTTTTAATGAAATGACAACCCAAAATGGACAGTTTCCAGTACCCTATATCTGATATCTGACCTGAGAATGGATCGACATAATTATAAATAAAAAATTAATCAAATTTTAGGGGGGGCACAAGCCGGCTGTGCCCCCTCTAAATCCGCGCTTGAAGCCCGTTTAACTTATCTCAATCTACAAACTTTAGAACAAAGAAGGCAACGAGGGAACATGATATAATATTTTAAAGCACTTAAGGGATTTATTGAAGCAAATTGGTTTGATATTAATTCCATACCACATTCTTTTTTAGCACAAGGACCTCCAAATAATGTAAGAGGCTCCAAATTAAGACTGTCAAGACAATTTACAAGAAACCAAGCTAGATATTACTTCTTTACAAACAGGATTGTATTCTTATGGAATAAGTTGCTAAATCAAGTTATCAATTTGAGAAGCGTCAACGAGTTCAAGAATCAATATGACAATTTCATTGTCGCTGAACAGGTATCTGCTAAACAGATTTCATAAGAAATTTATTTTTTTCTCATTGCAGATTATTGTATAATATTATATTATATTATACTAACTAGAACTAACCCAGCGGGCACGGAAACGTCCATATGACGTCGAATGGACGTCTTTTTAGGACGTCCGGAACTGGTTCTAAATGGCAACGCCAGATGACGTCTTTTTAAGACGAAATTAGGACGTCTTTTTAGGACGGAATAAAGACGTGTTTTTAGACGTCTAAAATACGTGAATTTAGGACGTTCAGAACTAGTGCTAAATGGAAACGCCAAATGACGTCTTTAAATAACCTAATTTAGACGTTCTCATTTCGACGTCTAAATTACGTGTTTTTACATGGCTTTACTTAAACGTAAGGTTCAAATATATGTTTTTACAGAACTTCTTGAGAATAAGAAAAAAATAATAAATCATTTAAATTTTTTAATA